GAGGAGCTGGTGGGAGGGGCAAAGGAAGCCGGAGGGGAGGGGCTGGTGGGAGGGGCAAAGGAAGTCGGAGGGGAGGGGCTGGTGGGAGGCGCAAAGGAAGCCGGAGGAGGGGTGACAGGTGGGAACCCAGGGAGGAGGGTGTGTGCGGAGCACTCAGGCGTCTGGCAGCTCCTTTGGGGGGAAGTGGGACTGGAGGGCAGGCTGCAGAGGGCCATGCTGTGAGTGGCAAGCGAGGAGGTGGAGGTGCGCCTTTCTAAACGTTTCCCTACAGCAGACAGGAGAGAGCAGAGCTGTGAGGAGTGGGGTCCCCCGCGCCCCTGTCTGCACCAGCCCTGGCCTCCTGAGGGCTGGAAGCTGGAAAAGGGCTTGAAGGGGGGCTGGACCCTACTCCACCTTCTCATCCCGATTCACTCTGCGGCCACCAGCCCCCACCCCAAACGCTGTGGGAGGACGCGACGGATAAGAGCCCCCAGCTCAGCTCCTACCTCTCTCCTACTCTCAGATCACACCAAACTGCTAAGATTTTCCTAAATGCCCTCGTTTGTCCGCCCTCCTGGCCTTCACTCATGCTGTTTGTTGCCTAAGAACGCCTTCTCCACCCACCGCCCATTTGGCCGGTGAGCGCTGCACGTATCTTTAAAAACTGGACTCAGGGTCTCATCTGTGAAGGCTTCCTGTCCTCTGCCTCCCCCAGGGTAGGGGGGCCTAGGCCCTCCACCTGGAGTCGCCCCCAGCAGACCCACCCATCACAGCGCCCAGAGCCAGGGGGTCAGGCAGGTGATGGGAGAGGCTGGAGGGCTCTGATCGGGGCAGATGCTCCCCTGTCCAGCCTTCTATCACCATGTCACCATGTCACTAGGGTCCCAGTGTGGCCAGACCCTCAGCTTTCTCATGACGCGTCGAAAATCTTGATGTTTTTAAAACACGAAATCTCCTGATTTTTAAAGCTCAAACGATATTTAATAATTTTAAAACCACCATGGGGCCAAACAAAGCACATCTTCAGCCAAGATTCTCTGAGGGCCTCTCATTTGCAATGTGCACTGTGCCCCCTTCTCAGGCAGGGATTGTGTCTCTACAGAGGGAGGATTCTGGCAGCTGTGGGGGTAGGTAGTGGCGACCTCCCTCCCCCCAGCTCTGTGCCAGAAACTTAGCTACATCATCTCATATAAGCCTCACAACAGAGCTGCAAGAAAAGTGCCGGCCCATTTTCCAGCCAGATAAACTGAGGCCGAGAGGCTGTGCACTCACAGCTAGTCAACCACAGAGTTAATTTCAACCCTGGTCTGTTTCTTCATGTCTCCCGCAGGGGTTAAATACAGGTTGGGCACCGGAAGTGTCAGCAAGGGGAGGCGCTGTACAACTTGGTGCTATAATGAACAATATCGGTATTATGGACACTCAGTGCTGTAGCTCATTGAGCTCCAGTGGGTCCAGGGACCCGGGACTGAGTGGAAAGCAAGGACGTGCTCTGGGGGCGACACACAGGAAGAGGCAGACCCAGACAAGAAAGTAAATGAATTAACAAGTTCAGGGAGGTAAGTGCAGCCAAGCAAGGCGGAGTGACCCAGAGTGATCTGAGCGGAGCAGAAGCTGCCCCCTCTGGGTCTTTTTGCTCCCCTCCCTGTCCCCTAAAGCTTTCCTGTGGGAGGCAGATGGATGTTCGTTCAGTGCGGCTGAAATCTCCCGGAGTCCAATACAACGGGTCTCATTTTCTTCCACACTTTGTTACTTTGACCCCCTCCCCGCCCCCCGCCCCCCCCCAGAGGCCCCATTATGATGCCTTCCATGGGCACAACACTCAGGTGACACTGGCAGGGATTAATTCCAGAAGTTTCTCCTAGCAGGCCAGGCTGCTCAGAGTCAGGGGGTACAGGCTCCCTCCACATGCACACCCAACATGTGTGCATACTGGCCCCTGGGCGCCTCTCTCTCTCTCTCTCTCTCTCTCTCTCTCTCTCTCTCTCTCTCTCTCCCTCTGTCTCTCTGTCTCCCTCCCTCCCTTCTTCCACATACTGCCATGTTTCAAAGCCCCTGAAAACCTTTCAGGATCTGCCCAACTACTCCTTACACCTGCCATAACCTCACTCCTACAGAGCAAATTCCAGCAGGACTGGGGTGGGATGGGGTTGGGTGGGGGTTCAGGCCCTTCCTACTCCCTCAGCCCCCCAGGTCACCATCTTGTCCTCAGCCTGAATGGAGTGCCACCCACAGATCCCTCTCCAGCTGGTGACTGGGAGACCCGGCACACTCTCCCCAGGGCATGTTCCCTCTTCTCCCCTCTGCATTCATGGCCCGCCTTGCGTCTCACCCACCCTCACGCTGTGAGCCTCATGGACTCCCCTCAGTGCCAGGCACAGACTATTGATCAGCCCTGAGAGGCCACACATCCCAGGGACTGATGTGATTCAAATCCCAGCTCTGGCACTTACCAGCTGTGTGACCTTGGACAAGTCACTTTACCTCTCTGTGCCTTGACTTCGCATCTATAAAGTAACTACTACCTCACAGAGGTGTTGTGGAATTAACGTCTAACACATTTAGCTGTGTGCCTGGCACAGGGCAAGCGCCACGTAACTGTTGGCTGTACTCATTACATGATAATCAGAGTCTTAAATCTAAAGCACCATCTTCACCTCCGTCCTGAGCTAACCATTCCCAAGCTTTATCCGTTGCATCCATAGCAGAAAGGACAGGAACTCACACACACAAATGCCCAGCACATTACATGGCTTATCAGATTTGAACCTTCCCAGGATGCTGCTCTGGGATCTCCCACTGTGAGTCACAGAAAACCAGCCCAGAGGGGCTTGGCACCTTGCCCCCGAGACACACAGCAGGAAAATGACAGGACTGGAAGACTCACTGAGGTAGAAGTGGGGTGCGGTGTGCTCCAAAACCCTGCTCTGTCTACAGCACCTCCCACCCCCCAAGGAATAGGAAACGTGCACAGCTGGGGCTGTGGATCTCTTCCTGTGTCCCTGGCTGCAGCTGGGGGGATACTGACCACTGCAGGATTTCAGCCCTGCTGCTGGGCCACCTGGAAACTTGTGCAAAGATCTGTTCGTGTGCTCTAGGCTCTTTGTAGGGAAGGCACCAAAAAAAAAAAAAAAAGACAAAATTAGGCCAGCCCAGCTAAGCTGAAATGCTCTCCTCGGAGAGGAAGGGAAATGAAATTTGATGAACCTCTGCATAATGCTCACGTTATGAATGTGTAAAGTGATATTCGGCACGGATGCTGGGAAGCATCCATCTTCTCCTGCATCGCTGGGGCCTGAGCTGTTAGGGACCGCTCGAACTGGGGCACCAGCTAACAGCAGCTTCCTGATATTAAGCGGTCCTGCCTTCTGCCTCAGCAAAACAAGGTTGCCCACGGATGCCCCAGGCTCCCCTACAGCTCCAGTGACAATTGATACAGTGTTAATGGGGTGGTTTTGACATCGGGCTGTTTATATGGCTGCTATAAACATTTCCTGAGCACCTACCATTGCTATGCCAGTCCTGCCACCTTCCTACTCTGGCCACAGCCATGGGATAGGTAGGCCCATATGCCAGGTTAGCCCAACCTCCCTGGCCACAGCTGACTGGCCTGGGACTGGACACCTGACCTGGGACTTTGGTGGCAGGGGGTGGGAGCTGGAATGCTGAATCTGTTTGATGGTTGTGGGGCTTGAGCTGAAAGGGCATGAGGCAGTCAGGGCTGAGGTCTCCAAAGAGATTCAGCCGATCTCACACACACACACACACACACACACACACACACACACACACACACACACACACACTCTTACTGAGCACCTACTAGGTGCCTGGCTCAGTTCTAGGTGCTCAGAATACAGTAGGGACAAGATGCAAAGCCCTTCTATCATGGGGCTCACTGTCTACACGCTATCAAACAGATAAACAAGTCGAATGATGTCAGATTGTATAGATGCTATGAAAAACTAGCAATGGGACAGAGAGTGACAGGACAGGGTGGGGGATGGGATGCAACGTTAGACCAGTGATTAAGGAAGGCCTCACTGAGTAGCGGCCTGAGAGAGCCAGCCAGGTGAGCTTTCTAGGCAGGGGCACAGCAGGTGCAAAGGCCCCAAGGTGGGGTGAGCTGGCAGAGTTCAAGAGCCAGAAAGGAGGCCCATGTGGTAGAGGGGACAATGGCGTCTGTAACAGTCAGAGAGAGGTCCTTGCGTGGCCCCCACCGTGCCCCGCCATAAAACCCCTTGGCTTGCAACCCTTCCACATGCTCCAAGGAGAGTCCAACGCCTCACTGCTGCCCAGCTTCACAGCCTCTCGCCCCCTTTTCCTCCTCAGGCTTGGTCCTGAGAACCTTTCATTTCCCTGCCACTGAAAGGCATGTCCAATCGACTCCCCCAGAAGCAGACTCTGTAGTAAGAATTTGGGTAAGGTTGTTTATTTAGGAGGTGGTCCCAGGAAATATGCTAACCATCTGCCTGCTTGTCCTTCCACTCATCCATCCATCCATCTATCATCCATGCTTCCATCCATCCTCCACCCATCATTCACCCATCCACCCACCCACCCTACATACATACATACATACACCCACCATTTATTGTCACCTGTCCTGTTCCCAGCTGGCCTCTGAGGACTCAGGGGACCAGATGTGGTCCCTGACCTCCAGGAGGCCCCCTCCTCTAGCAGCCATCACCAGTCCCACTGCTGGACCTCTTGTCACTCGGTGCTGTGACAGAGCCTGAGGAGGAAACCTTGGTTCAGCCTTTGCACGCCTCTGTCTTGGTTCTAAGAAGCATGGGGCCAAACGGCAAACCCTCCAACTTGCTTCCCTTCCTGGTTTCTCAGGCCCTGATGACCTAAGCCTGCGGCCACCTCATGCCCCAGGAATTCCAACACAGCGGGGTGTGCACTCTGCCTCGCCCAGCCCGCCCCTTCCACCCACACCCCCGCAGAACGCAGAACGCGTCTGTCAGACCAGGACGGGAGCCCTGCGGCCACTGAGGCGACCCCGCGCGAGCACTGACCTCTCCCGGAAGTACTTGATGGCTTCAGGGTCTATGAAGGTCGGCTCCTCCCGGTAGCCCTGCTCGAAGACCTTGCGCTTGTGCCGGAACTCAATGACCGTCTTGGTGTAAGAGTTGAGCGTGGTGACAGAGGCTGCCATGCAGCAAGTGAAGGAGCCCCACGCCAGGCTGCCAAGAGGGGAGGAGAGAGGTGCCAGTCAGGGTGGGCGGGGGCGACAAGTCCCGCTCACCGCATATCCCTCCGCCCCACACAGCTGCCTTTTCTGGGCCAGCCCTGAGCAGGTGCTGCTGCCCCCCTCCCGTCTACTGGAAATGGTATTGTTTGTATACTGTGATGCACAAGTGACAGAGTTCATGAAGTCATTCCATCCAAGGGGGCCGACGTCAGAGAAGGTTACCAGAATACAAGCCTGCCTGCGCTGGGACTTGCAGGATGAGTAAGGGTTTGCAGGGGAAGGGCCATTCCAGGAAAAGGGCAGAGCATGTGCAAAGGCACGGAGGCACGAGGCGTCCAGAACCTTCCGCACACTGGGGGAGGTTGGGGATGCTGGCACGAGAGAGCCTGAGGAAATTGTTGGGGCTGATGATAGAGAGGTAGATGGGGGCCAGACCCCCTAAAAGTTGGGTTTCCGTGAGAGTTATTGGGTCATCGGGAAAGGCATGACGTATTTTTCTATGTTTTTCAATGCAAAAATGCATCATGACTTTCCCGACGACCCAATATATTACTTTTGTTCACGGGTGCCCTGGGGGGAGATGCCTAACTCTCTGCCTCTTAGTCCTCATATTCATGTTAATGCACATAACAAGAACACCACCTCTCAGGATTGTTGCAAGGACTGAAGGAGATGATGACCCGTTCAAAAAACATCTTAGAACAGGGATTAGCACAAAGTAGGTGGTACCAGCCTTAGGCTTATCCCCCCCCCCCCAGGGGCTTGCCTTGGCAGACCTGGAGGGAGCTGAGACACTGAACTGGAAAAAGGAGCAGGCAGGAGGGTGGCAGGCTCGGGGCTCAGGTTGAGGATGGGGTCCCAGTGGGGCCCGCGGAGGGTTCCGGGGGTGAGGGGAGACTGCAGCCAGGGCTGGACCCTAACGGAACTCTAAAGTCCCAGGAACCAACATGAGCAACAGTCCAGATGGGGCGGTAGACACTGGGGAGAGCAGAAAGAGGGGCTGCGTGCGTGCTCACTGGCTGGCATCCTTGTGGACATTGGGGTCAACGAGCAAGAGTGGCATACCCAAAGGCCCAATGTCATTGTCACCATTTATCATCACTGCCTATTACTGAGCACTCTAAGAGCTTGGTCCCACACAGTCCTGACAACAGCCCCTAAACCTGCATTGCTGTCAGCCCTGCTCTCCAGACGAGGACACTGAGGCAGGGAGAGGCTGGCTCGCCTGCCTGTAAAGGCAGCATTCTCTGTGCTGAGTGACCACAGACATTCTTTCACATGGTCCTCATGGTAACTGGTCTCCAAAGAAGGACCCCATGAGCCATATGTCCTGGGGCTCATGGTTCGTGCGGCTCCTTCTCCTTGAATCTGGCATCTGGCCCCATCACGTGCTCTTGCGCCATGGAACGCAGCAGAACTGACACTATGTCAATGTCATCAAATAAACTCATAGCTTCTGCTTAGATCTCTGGAAATGCTCACTCCCCGCAGGGACCCAGCCACAGGCTGGGAAGCCGCTCCTGGAGTCAGCTCTGGCTGAGCCCCCAATGGCTGCGGCAGCCTGCCAGCCCCGCGAGGGGCAGTCTGGGCCGCCCAGCCCGGCGGTGCCCCAGATGACCCCAGGGTCAGCTGACATCCGATGGCGGTGTCTGGATCGCAAGCCAGGACCACCCACTGAGGGCAGTCAGCCCATTGAACCATGACAGGTGATCACACATTTTTAGTTTTTTGCCACTAGATTTTGGAGTGATGTGTCATACATCAACAGAGAATGGAAGCGCCACTCACAAGTTCTCCACGTGGTGGAAACTCAGGCCACCCCCATTTTACAGCTGAGGACAGTGAGGCACAGGGAGGGAGGGTGGCTTGGCCAAAGTCCACAGCTGGTGAGGGTCAGAGGCAGGACCTGTGGAAGAGGCCACCCCTCCAGACTGCCACAGAGGCCCAGCAGAGCAGGTCAGGGTCAGGTGACCTGACCGGGGGAGGTCAGGCTCCTCACCAGGGCCCCTCACCTCCCTGAGCAGCATCTCTCCCAGAAGCTGGTGCTCCCACCTCCCGAGCCCCCGCATGGGGCCGGGGACAGAGGCTGGCGCTGTCTTGCCTTGGAGGCTGGTCTGCTCTCGGGTGCCCAGGGCTCTGGGGCCAGAATTTTGACAAATGGCCTCACACATATTAAACAAGAGAGATGACACTGCATAACCCTGGCATGGCCCCAGAGGCGAGGCATGAAAAATGGGGCTGATTCTTCTCGCGGGCCTCGGTGACAAGGAGAAATGGACCAGCCCTAATAGGGGCTGCATGTTGGGCCCCGGCCTTAAGTTAAATGAGAGCTCGCTGCTACTTTGGCAGGCCAGGCCCGAGGGAGCAGAGGAGGAGGGCAGGATGCCTGGCTTTCAGGGGACAAGGTTCCCGTGGCAACACCAGCATGTTTGAATGCCAGGGTGGAGAGCCAGGGGCTTCAGGGAAGGGAGGCCTGTGGGAGGACGGGGCAAGGGACCTAGCCTCAGTTTCCACATATGCAACACGGAGTTATTGTCCGTGTTACATTTCATATTAATAACAGTAACATGAAAAGAGCTGGTGTTCACCGAGCACACGTATGTGTCAGTGTGCCAAGCACCCATGAACCATCGTACTGTTACCCCATTGTCTCATAGAGGCAGAATATAGAGGCTGAAAGCATGGGCTCTGGAGCCAGACTGCCTGGGTTCAGTTCCCAACTCTGCCACTCACGGGCTGGATTACTTCTCTGTGCCTCAGTTTACACTCCACTAAGTGCCCACCTCCCCACACTGTTGTGATGACACACCAGTGCTCAGGACACGTAGGAGAATCACGCACATGGCCAATCCTCAAAAATCTCCGTTCCCTTCTTTTGTCTCTTGCTCTAATTCAAGGTCACCACCTTCCAAGGTCAAGATCTCAAGAAGGAACCGCTGGTGCAAGAAAGGAAGGATAGATAAAAGGCAGTCAGAGCCTGGTTTCCCTGCCATGATCCTACTCAGAGGGAGTCAGGGATGGTGGTGATGGGTCAGGGTCTCTTTAAGCCACACAGAGAGGGGGAGGGGCAGAAATGTAGCAGGAGTCTGCTGGTCTGCAATGGGGTCTTTCTTAATCATGGCTCTTCCTGCCCCGTTTTGACCACCTTTCCCCAAAGATGCTCTCTCACCGCCGAGTCTCCATCTGCTGCTCCCCCTGCTCAGCACACTATCTTATTCCCTCCGCTGCCTGTTTTCCTGACCGAATTCTTTCCTGAGGACCCTCCCTGCCAGGAGCTGTGTCAGTGACCACTCCTCTGTTCCTCTGTGCTCCCACAGTTGTCTGTGGGGACCCCCCCCCCCCACATCACAGCATGGTTCACGTGTCTCAGTCAGGTTGCAATGCTGTCTTGGCCACTGCTGTACACCCCCTCCCCCGCCACCTTGCACCTAGGAGGCTGGTCCCAAGTAAGTGCTCAATAAACATGTTAAATGACTGAGTGGATAAGTGGTTCCCAGCCATCAGGACCAGACCTGCAGACCCTGTGTAATGAACAACTGCAGTCATTGTTGTTTCAGCACATATTTCTTCTTCTGATAACAGCCCACTCCACCCCTGCCTCAGCCTCAAATTTTCCACTGGGGGACCTCACCTTTTCCTCTCTGTGTCCAAGGGTTTGGGTGGGGCCAGCACCGCCCTCTGGACCATGTGACTCAGGCCAGACCAATCAGAGCGGTCCAGTTTCCTCAGGGCCTAAATCATTGGTTGAGGGAGGGTCACATGACTTACGCTAAGCCAGTGAATGTCATCACCAGGATTTTGGCTGGAAATACTGGAAAGAAGTCCCCTCTCTCTGCTCATATTACTACATTTGTAAGATGTCAGCCTAGAGCTGGGCATGCTGACCACCATGGCTATCACTTGGGGAAAAGATGCTTGTGAATGAAGCCAGCACAAAAGGAACAAAGACAAGAAAGAGGGGGAGAATGGCTGTGTCTCTCTCTAGTGAATCCTCTGGTCGCCTGGATCCAGCCATGCCTGAGGGATCTTGGTAGCTCCCTCAGCATCCATGCCACCCCCTGACCATTTGAGAGTTTTGGACTCATTTCTAGCTCCAGAGATGAGCCTAGGCTAGCTGAGCCAATAAGCTCATGACATTCCCCCAGCCGTGGTCATTATTCAAGAGGGAGAAAGTGGCCTGAGTTGGGCTCATTGGAAGGAGGCTTGGGGTTTTAGACAACACTGAGGAAAGAGAAGCTCCACCTTTCCCTGTATGTAAAGGAAGAAGCACCGACCTCAAGAAGAGCTTTCTCTTCACCAGGAGGGACGCCTGCCCAGAGACAGAGTTATCATGTGAGGGGGCAATGCTCAGAGGATCACAGAGGAAGAGAGCTCAGGCCTGATGATGTCAGCAACTCTGGACCGAGCGGACCCGGAAGTCCACACCACAGCTGCACTCTTTCCATTTTCAGGGACCCGTGAGTTTGCTTATCGCTTAGACCAGTGTGGGTGGGTGTCTCTGTTACAACCCACACCCCCCTGGCTGACGCTCCCGTACTTTTCAGTTTCATGAACTAATACCAGCCCTTGTTCACTTAAGCTTGGGATTCCATCACTCCCAAGCAAAAATCTCCTGACGGAGTCTGCCTTTCGTTTTCACCCCATGCTCTGAGGTGCTGCCCCCTGTCCCCTCACTGGGGTCCCCCTAATCCATTGGACCACCCAGAACCCCTGATGGCTCACATGCCTTCAGCTCTCATCTCCAGCAGCCGCTAAGTGCGCTTGGCAAGCTTTCTCCATAAAGAGCCAGGCAGTAAATATTTTAGGCTTTGTGGGCCACTCAGCCTTTGTCGCAACTGCTCAGCTAGGTCACGGCAGCGTGAAAACAGCCGTAGACAATATATAAATGATGGCCATGGCTGCGTCCCAATAAAACTTTATTTATGGACACTAAATTTGAATTTCACATAATTTTCACATTTCACAAAATATGATTCTCCTCTTGATGTATTTTTCCAGTATTTAAAAACAAAAACCATCGTTTGCTGGAGGGCTGATTAAACCAGGTGGTAGGCCGGATTTGGTCCACGCACTGTAGTGTGCCCACCCCAGGCTCTAGGGTCTCCAAGCACCTTTGTTTGGACTCTGGGCTACCCCGCCTTCCTCTGTCCCCCAATGGGCTGAGCTGTTGAAGTCCCAGCATGCCTGGGGCTCTGTGTCCGAAGGTCAGAAGCCACTTACCAGAAGGACCACCCATAGTCCCAGGAATGGGGTCTCCAGTCTTCAGGGCCAAGGCTCACGGTGACCTGGAACACCTGCGTGTACATCATGTGGGCGACCATTCCCAGGAGGCCTGTGAGGGGAGCAGAGTGAGGCATCAGGGAGCCAGGTGGGGCCACGTGCAGTCCCACAGCCTGTCAGTGCTGGGGGAGAACATGGACCCCCCCCCCCACCCCACCCCGCCCGGGGAGGATGGTCGGCAGGACCAGAGCATAGGAGGCCAGACAGTGGTAGTTTCTCAGCCGGCCAAGGAGCTTGAGTTTGAGCCAGAGGGCAAAGGGCAGCCCTGGAGAAATGTAAGCAAGGGAGACAGAGTCAGATCTGTGTATGGATGGGCAAAGTGTTTCCGTTGAGAACCAGATTAGTAAATCTTTTAACCTCTTTGGGCCACTTAGTCCTGTTGCAACTATTGAGCTCTACGGCTGTCATGCAAAAGAACCCTGGACACTATGTAAATGGATGAGCAGGGATGTGTTTCAATAAAACTTTATTTACACGAGCAGGCACCAGGCAGGAGTTAGCCCGTGGTCTGCTATCTGTGTTAGAGAGTCACTAGGGAGAAGCAGCCTAGAGAATGTTTTTCAAACTGCAGGTTGTAACTCACTAGACTAGTGGGTCAGGAAGACAACATCACAGATAGCAACAAATGCCACACAAAAAAAGAATGGAATGGGGGCTGGCTGAGTGGCGCATTGGTTGGGAGTTGGCTTGGGACGCCAGCTGTTGGCAGCGGAACCCAGGTTCAGATCCCAATGAGGGCCAGTGACACTGCCCTCTACAGCTAAGATGCTGAACAACAGCTCAACCTGGAGCTGGGCTGCTGTGAGTCGCCAGCGATGGTGTAGGCAGCAGCCCCTGTGGCAGTGGGTTGCCATGGGCTACCGTGTGTAGCCAGCAGCCGGCGTGAGCAGCCAGCAGCCGCAGTGAGCGGCCGTCCAGAAGCCGGTGACTGATCTGCCTCACCCGGGAAGAGCGCAATGATGGTGCCAA